AAAGTCTGCGTATTTTTTTTTTTTCTGATGTCCTAGCATAAATAGAAGCAAATAAAGTACTTTGAATCTGACTCTGAAAGTGTTGACTAATTAGAATTTGTGCTTTAATACCTCCTATTTGCCTCCACGCTGTTCTCTGCACCATTACAATGAGCTCTGAATATGCACAGACACACCTGCTTACACTTTCTAGTATCTCCTGCAAGGGCTTGTATTTTAAACCAAGGAGCCAGACAATGCTCAAGGGAAGAAATGTCACATTTTATAGATGGGGAACTGTGATACAGGCTGCTGCATTTCTAAGTAGCTTTCTGAACATGGATATTTGCATATTTGTTCAGAACATCTGTGACTTAAGGTTTACAAGGTTTTTAAGGACTTTGTATATCTTACAACACCCTTTCCCCACAGAATCTGTCTTCTCTTTGATTCTTCATTGCCCTCAAGAAAATATTTCAAGACAGACCTTTGAACATAGAGGGATGCTCTGTGATCATGGGCTGAAATGCACAGGCCCTGTCACCAACGGAGACTACCCAACAGGATGGATCATTTCATGGTGCAGTGAGAGGTTGCTCTTGTAGACAATATTAATGTAATGCTTTGTAAAATTTTTACCACATCTAATCATATCTCCTCAGCAGACTTCTGTCTGAAAGGCTGGTTTTTGCTTCATTACCACTGAGCATTTTTTTCAGGATAGAGTAAGAGAGTAAACTCCTAGAAGTTATCAGTGATGTGAATTACAGATTAGACATAATGAGTTCAGAGCCCTACCCTTTCTTACCAGCAGCTCATGATGGCAGCTACTAACAACTGTTACCAGGGTATTAGAATTAGTCCAGTTTGGGATAACATTTCTCTTTTTGTGCCTCACATTCTTTGACTCACGAGGCTGCGCTGCATCCCTGCTGCAAGCAGAAGCGCCCTCTCCTGCGCAGAGGTTCGTTCTGCAGGAAAGAGGGAGAGTAATGCCAGGCAAACCACCCGTTCCAGCAGGCACGGAAGAGATGGACAGAACTGGTATCACATCCTCTAGATCTGCCTGCAAAAGACATGCTGGGAGATCCAGCTCTGGGGATGCTGGCACCTGTATGCTTCCCTGCATGCCAGAGAGGTTAAAAAATTATTGCATCTCTCTGATGCATTCTTCTTTGCTACTGTTTGTTTGTGCTGGTTTGAAAATAAGATGGGCATTCCAAACTTTCAGGGAACTTTGGCATCATTTCACTGTACAGAGGAAGTTTTCCTAACATACCAGTCCCACAGTGTGAGCTGTAGAATGTCAGTATCCTCACTAAGAAAAGCCATTAGGTTGTGGATATTTCTGAAAGCCTGGTCCTGATTTATATTTCATCACTCACTACCCAGCAGAAATTTGACATTAGGTTGTGCTGAGAGTAGTCAGAAGGTCACCAACTGCAGAAGAAACTTGTCACATGTAGAGAGTTAATTCCTATGGGATTTTGCCAGTTTTGTAGCAAAATTATAGCAATCCTGTTGCAGCAAAATTTAATGCAGAACATGAAAGCATTTCTAAGTCAGAAACAGATTTTTATAAGTGACTTACCCTAAACATTTACTTAAAAAAAAAAAAAAATGCAGTCTTCAGATAAAATTGATGAATAAGCAAACAAATCACATATATTGTCTTCAAAAACTAGTCTGGCCAGCTCTAGTTCATAGCCAGATATTATTCAGGTTTTATAGTCATACTTAAAATAATCAGCAATGAGCTTATCTCCCAGGTACATAATAAATGTCTGAGACACATGTAAAAATAAAATAATGTTTTATTTATACAGTAGCCCACTCTTCTTTTAGTCAAATGATGGAAATTATACCTGAGGAAATACTGAGTATAAAAGAGTGAAATTTTGTAATTCCACCCTGTTACACTGGTGAGCAGCTTACCTGCTCTGCACCTTGTGTGTGGAGACCTGGCCATCTAAAGACCAAATCGGGAGGCACAGCCTTGGTTTGGTTCTGTACTCTCTCTAACTCATAGCTTGCATTGAGCTGGGGTAGCAAGACCCATATGGGTACAGATCCAGGTGGCTGTGTTGAGACCTGCAGATCTGGTGTGGCAGGTGAACCTTTCTTCACATCACAAAGCAGTCCCTGTGGGCTCACTGGTGGTGTCTCTGCAGGAGGAAAGGGTGGAAAGACCAACACAGTCAATCCACCCCTCAGATCTGCTCTGAACAGAGAAGTGCCCCTTGCTGTGTATCTCACATTTGTGCCAGTGCTGGGACCTTTCCTTTGCCTGAGTGGCACTGTCAGACACTGTCTGACAAAAAATAGATTGTGTGCTTGAATTATCAGATAAGAAACAGTCACTTTATCTGATGGGCTATTTTAACAACATGGAAGGTATCTTGATGCCCTCACTCAGTCATAAAGCTGCTTTTCTGTTTATCCAAAGAAGTCAGCACTGGGAGTTTTCCCATGTGGATACATTGCTTGGTACCAGGCCCCTAACATCTTCAGTAATCTATCACGGAATATTTTAGTTTGGAAAACACCTCTGGAGATTATCTTGGTAAATTTTTAAGTTAGATCACGCTGTACAAGTCTTTGTCACTCCTAAATCTTTTGTTTCAGAGCATGTCTGAACACAGAAACTCCAAGGATTTTCATTAAGAGAAGATACATAATGACATAGTAATTTAGGACAGCGTGCAACTTCACTAAGGCAGAAGAACTGCAACTCTTGCATCAGACCCTTATAATACCTGGCCCCCACATCCGTGGCAGTGGGTTCCAGTGTTGGTTCACAGAATTGTAGAATATCCTGAGTTGGAAGCGACCTGCAAGGATCATCAAGTCCAACTCCAGTCTCTGCGCAGGGCACCTAAGAATCACATCACGTCCCTGCGAGCATTGTCCAAATGCTTCTTGAACTCTCTCAGGGTTGCTGCTGTGACCACTTCCCTGGAGTGTCTGTTCCAGTGCCCAGCCACCCTCTGGTGAAGAACCTATTTCTATCATCTGACCTCAGTCTCCTCTGGCTCAGCTTCAGGACATCCCTCAGGTCCTGTCCCTGTCACCAGAGAGAAGAGACCAGTGCCTGCTCCCTGGATTCCCACCATGAGGAAGCTGTAAGCCGTGATGAGGTCTCCCCTCAGTCTCCAGGCTGAACAGACCAAGTGACCTCAGACACTCCTTATCTCATCCCCTCCAGAGCTTTCACCATCCTCATGGCCCTTCTTTGGTTGTTCTTTAATAGCTTAATGTCATTTTTATATTGTGGCGCCCAAAACTGCACACAGGACTTGAGGTGAGGCCTCACCAGCTCAGTGCAGAGCAGGACAATTCCCTCCCTCAACACCCACTTCTTGTCAGAGGAAAATCATCAGAGATGTTTAAATTCATCGAGGTCAATAGCTAACTTCCATCCATATCAGTCAGTTCAGAAGCCTGTACCTCTGGTTCCTTCTAAACTCACTGCTATTATTCATTAAGGTTTGCTTTCAGACTATGAAAATCCTGAGGTCAGGGTGATTTGCATTTGCATCTTCAGAGATGAGTCACCAGTGCTCTCTCTGGCTGGCAGGGGCTGTCAGCAGCCATGTTCTGCTGCTGCAGGATTCTTTAGCAATTGAAAGTTACAGATATTCAGCACCTTCCAGGTCTCTCCATAATACCTTAGGGAATTTGATCTCTGAGATACATATAAAAATAGAAATCCAGAATTTTTAAATTAGTACCACAACAGAATTTCACGTTCTTCCAAGAAACAATCTCCAATTTTGTATTATGTGGACTACTTTTGAAGACAAAACCATTTCACATATAAAATACCAGGGGAGTAATTAAATAATTAAAAAATGAAATATGTAATAAATATAGTAAATTGGGGATATATAATTTTGGCATAATGATTCTTTACAAAAGTGTAAGACTACATAAAAATAAAACATAATATACAGAAATATCTATGGCAATTTTAAGATAATAAAAAGCATTGTATTTATATTGACTGGTTAATATTAATTCAATGCAGAAATGTCAACGTCAATAAAAATTTCAACATGTCACAGAAATACAACAGCACAGATTAAATGGAATGATGCTATGAAACACTCTACAAACTTGTACTCAAACTGGTTAATGATCTGTCTGTTGAATCCCATAAAAACATGAAGTTGTTTAGACAAACATTGCAAGATTTGTATCACTCTTATTTTTTAAATTTTTGTTTGAAGGCACAAGAAACTACTATCAGCAAATTATTCATAATAGAAGTGGCAGCAGCAACAGTGAAATTTGCCCCAGCATGTCTGAGGGAGTTCTCAGCTGTGGGGAGGAAGGATTGTGCTCTCCAGACTGCCAACCTTCCATACCCATAGCTGCTACAGACTACTACACAGTAAAAGTGGGATCCATAAAAAAAGGGAAGGGTTAGCTTAGTTAGAAACTAAACATGAGTTCAACAACATTTGGGGATGGCATAAAAGCAGTCCCTGACTCCACTTGGAAATGTATACATTTCTTTGTATATTTCAGTGCATTCTAGGTCTGACTGCAAAACAAGTACAATTGACTCGTTGCAACTATCAAGCATTAGAATTGTACATTTTAAGAATTTCAGGGCAGTGCGGGATCTTGGCTAATGCAGCAGCAGTACTGTTGCTCTGTGTTATCAGGCAGTTTTTTTGCCATCTAACTCTCCTGGAATGTGTGATGTACCTGAAGTCACATACTAGAGTACAAGGAAAATGTTCAATGCTCTTGTTGAAAGACTTACTCATTTTTAATATTTTCCACTGGTTAACCACAAATGTTAACAGCAGAGCACATGTATGAGAAGTGGAACATGCTCCTCCTCGTGCTTACCATGAAGAGGAACAGATGGTTAGAAGCAAAAATTCAAAATTAAGAATAGTACCTTGTTTTCCTCACCAGTGCTTCTTAAAATTTTGCTCAGAAGATAAAACTGGTTTTATTTAATATGAGAAAAAGAGTCGGTCCAAAAGAAAAAAGCTTTTAAGATTCCATTTTGAGTCAAAGTAAATTACTTTGTTTATTCCATGCATCCTCAGCAAAGCAGTAGTTTCACCAGTGATCTGGTGGGCAAAGTTTGTTGTAGGTGACAAACAAATGTGAATTATTGCTCCCATAGTGTCCTCAAGGAGTTAAGGACCCATGCAAGATATGCAAGATGATGTCAGCATGTAAAAACTTGTGTCCTGCAGCTTGCATTGGGAACTTCTTATTTGTTCCAGCAGCTTCCAGCCTAGCTGCCACTTTCCTGGTCTCTGCCATTGGTACAGGCCTTCTGAATGTCAGAGGAATCTGTTATTTCTTTGTTTTCTTTTCTTTGGCCCCCTTCCTCTGATTCTTTTGGCATTTCCAATTTTCTGTTGTCAGTATTGTGATCAGTGGATGAATTTAGCTTGGATGAGGTCCATCTCCATCTTCTCAGGCTCCTGTAACAGTCTTTTCTGACGTTTTCACTGACCAGAACATAGAGGATTGGATCAGCAACACCGTTTGCAGTGCCTAAACACAGAAACACTGTAAAAACTGAATATATCTTATTTTCAAATGGACATGGGCAGTCCTGATGAAACATAAAGTATATGGCTCTTATTATGAGCACCACATGATATGGAGCAAAGCAGATCAAGAAAATAACAATAATGGCAATAGCCACATACTTCACTTTGGCTTTCTGGTGACAAGTCAAGCTGCTGCTTCTTTTGATAGCTTGGAAAATTTTGTAGTTTGTAAAAATCAGGATTGTGAAGGGTATGGCAAATCCAAACAGGAATCTAGCGAAGCTGAAAGAAGCCAATAATATGTCAAGGGGCACTGTCTCAAAGCAGGTTTTTGCCTCTGTACAGTTTTGCTTATCTTCCATGTAAAATACCGGAGTGTGGATTCCTGCAACCACAGCAAAGAGAAAACAGACTATTTTGGTGGCCTGTTTCTGTTCTCTTCTTCCCCTTGATTCCACAGAATACACCAGTGCCACGTAACGATCCACAGAGATGCAGCACAAAAGCAGAATGCTGATGTAGATATTGCAGAAAAAGATGAATCCTGTTATTCTGCAAGCAGTGTCACCCATGGTCCACTTGTGCCCATTTTGCACATAGATAATCCAGAGAGGCAAGGTACTTAAATACATCAGATCACACAGTGATAAACTGAAAATGTAGACGGCAATGACTTTATTCCTTTGGATTTGTACAAACGTAAGCAGAGAGGTTAAGCAATTGGCTGGAAGGCCTATAGCAACAACGATGCTGTAAACAGCAACCAGAAATGTCTGACTCTCTTGATAAGGAAGTTCTGGGCAAGTGGAGTTACAATTTTCGTGTAGACAACGTTCCATTATTCTTTTTCCAGTTGGTATTTCCTGAGAATCAGAAGACAAGGTGGAAAGTTAGCATTGCATCACTTAAAAATGTGTCAGTAAAGGTTATGGTGCCATAGGTGCCAACTTGACATGTCAGTGGAACAAGTAGGATGGGGGTGATTGAAAGGTTCATCCTCAGGCATGAACTGAGAAAGAAAGGGTCACATCCCTCCACCTCTGAGAGTTGGACTAGGTTCTGGTAGCTATGTGGAAGCTCACTCAAGGGGGATCTGAAGTTTTGTCCCTGGACATAAAATTATCCATCTCCTTTTTGTCAGTTCCCATTCTAAAATCATACTGTAAATGCCAAAACTGCCATAATTCCTTATGCCAAGTATCACCTACACCCAAAATCTCACATGACGATCAGCCTATGAAAATAAGGCAGATGAATATGAAGTTGTAGACCAGCTTAGACATATTTGAAAAAAAAAAAGCTGGGTTCAGTATTGTCCCATCTTCAGAATGACTGGAGAAAAGAATTCTCACTGCAGTGTGGAGAAGATGACACAGTACTCAGATCAGTAACAGGACCTGAGGGAACAGCCTGAAGTGGTGTCAGGGGAGGTTTAGGCTGGATATTGGAAGAAGTTCTTACCCCAGAGGGTGGTTGAGCTGGTGTTAACTTATGAATATGGTGGTTGCAATAAGGGCTGGTGGTGACTATTTCTTTGCTGCCTCCTAAGCATCTGTCACCTTTGGTGGAGGAGGAAGGGTCTCTTCTGGGCCACCTACCAAACTGCTGTGTAGAAAGGGTAAAAAAGGTGCTTGATTTCAGGGTCAGCAGTGGTTCTCTGCCCAGGCCTTGTCTATGAACTGACATACAGAGCTTGTCCTTGACTTAAACACACCTGGTGGTGTGAGAGCTGCTGCACACCTGCACACCACAGAGCTGCTGTACACCTGCACACCACAGAGCTGCTGCACACCTGCACACCACAGAGGGTCTTGGAGACCTCCCTTTCTATCGTAAAGCACAACAGGTGAATATGTCTCATAGTCAGGCAGATGGTGACATCCAGGGCAAGGATATGACAGAAGTCACACACCAGTCACTCATCAGCTTGTCTACCCCACACACCTCAATAAAAACACCTTCAGGAGTGGTAAAGGATGCTCTCTCCTTCCCTCCTCCTGGCTTTGCACACTTCTCTTGATCCTGTGTCTGAATATTCTCCTTTCTGTAGGGCAGTCAGTGATGGTACAGGGCAGGAAGCAGTAGAAGAGTTCTGTGGACACATGGCTCCTAATGTTTGTTTGGGTTTTTGTTTGTTTGTCTTGCCTCCTCCCCTCTCACTTTTGCTCCAAGTCTCCTTTCGATGCTCAGCACCCATGAGGGAGCCTCAGTGTTACCCTGATTTTTAAAAGTGTTTCCTTTTATAGCTCTTTTTGAAAGTTTTAAAGTTCTCATAAAACTTCTTTAGCCTTCTGATAATGTTTACATATTTCTACTAGAGTTCTCACACACTGTTCATGTAAATAATGGTTGGTTTGCATTTTTCGTTGTGAGAGGAGAGAATTAATAGACTATTAGTTTGACCAGTGTAGTTGAGAGGTGGCAATTTCATCCTCCAATCCACTGTCACTTTTGGAATTCTATATATTGCAAGGTCAGAAATAAAATTAGCTCTTTTTTTTTCCTCTTGAACTCACGAAGCTTCTGTGTACTCATTTCATGTCCAATAACAGCACTTCAGGAAGGAGATGCCTTTCTAAGGTATCTTTCTAAGGTGACTTTCTAAGCTGCCTGCCTGGAGGTAGCTGGAGCAGGCATTTTTCCTTGGTGTTTGGCACATGGACAAAGCCACAGGGCTTAGCTGAGCCCAAGAGACCTCCCCTGGAAATGGCTGTCAGCTGCCAAGCGTGGTGCCTCAGCTGACAACGGGCAGCCCTGGGCATGCACTTACACTTCTAAAGAAATTCAGGTGCTGAAGGACTGTCCTGAAGCTTTGGCCTGTCAGCCTGGGAGCTTGTATCCTTCCCAGCAGGAGTGCTCTAAGCCCCAGCCCAATATAATGAAGGAGGAGAGGAGGCCACCCGTTTGCTCCACTCCTCACCTTCTCCAGGCTCTCAGCCCTGTCCAGGGAAGAAACTTCTTCCCCTGGCCACTGCATCCACCCCCAGTTCAGAGCTTCACTGGCCTCCACTCGGTTCTCCAGGCCTGCAGAGAGGTTTCCCCCTCGAACTGAAGATCACAAAGCAGCACTCAGCAGACAATTTATGACATTTCTCCTGGTGACATTTCTTTTGTGTTGATGCACCCCTAAGGGGAAGGAAGTAACACCACAATCCACCCTTTGACTAAAGTCAACTTCTCTGTGCCTCTACAGCCCTCTTCAACTGAGGCACGTTCCTATCTTCTAAGACCTTTAGAGTTCAACAGTTTGATGCTTGGCTCAGCCCAGACGATTCCCAGTTCTGTCTTCCTCTGGGATGTCGAGGCTAACCTGAATCTTAAATATTAATTCAAATGAAAAACAGTAATAATTACACAGCTGAAAAAAACTAGGCACCATTTTCTATTAATATTTGTGATGATCAGTTTTGGTTTGAACTCAAGAGATTTATCACACCCAGCAATTTTCAAGCATTTATAAAGGGTAAAACATTGTGATTATGACAAGGATGAGCAATATCCAAGAATGCATTTGTGAGATACAAACTGTTCCAATGAGTTATCTTTGCTGTCCTGTATCCTTCAGTTGAGCAAAGCCTCTCCAAAGCAGCTGCTTTCAGCTTTTTGTGGCCTATCCTGATGTGCTAGGTCTCACTGTAACACTTAATCTTAAGTGTTACAGCAGGTACTGGCTGTGTTTTGCATCAGCAGCTCAATGTATTTTTGTCAACACTCTGAGGTTTTTTGCTCTCTGAGAGTCTCTGCATGGGACAAACTGCAGCTGTCACGTGCATGATTCTCGCTTTCAAGATGTGCAAAACATCTCATCTTCCAGGACAGAGAGATCACGAAACACCTGAGCACAAATCACTGGAAGATGGGGTAATCCTCTAAAATCTGCTGCATGCCTGCTCTGTATTTACACTCTTCCATTTCTAATATTCTTATGCTGTCTCCATGCTGTTAGAAACTGTTAGATTATGCTGTTAGATAATTATGTTCCATACTCCTAAAATGCAGTGGCTCCTGCTGCTCATTTGGGCCAGTTGCATTCATCTTTTCTCAAGAAAAGTCTTTTCAGTAATACCAAAGCATAACAAGAAAAAAAAAAGGAAAAGAAAAAAAAAAAGAAAAGAAAAAGCTTTAAATTTTTTTTTTTTTGTTATTTGTATATGACTACTCATATGAAACTGTTTAAATTTCCAAAGGAGAAGTTGGAGTGATAAAAATAGCTGCTATTAGAAAAAGTAAAAAAAAGGAAATTACAGATATGGTTACAAGGAAGAGAAGTATAAGTCAAAGAAATCATAATAGTTGGACAGAGACTGGTTGAAAGTCTTTGGAGTAACTCACCTGAGATACACAGGAACAGAAGAAAAAAAAGGACACAGTGAAATTCAGAACATGAGTACAATTACATGAGAAAAACACATTAATTAATATATTTTTTTATTTTCTAATGTTTTTCTGATCATCCATCTCTTCCAGGGATTATTGTTCGAGCCAAAAGTTTTGAGGCATTTATGTGGATATCAGGAAAAATGTGAAATAACTGCTATGAGGGTTAAAATGAAAACAAACTTTCCCTTCACACTTTCCTTCCTGTCCCCAATATCTGTAGAGGAAAGCAACCTGCGTGTCTCAAAGCATAAATCACAAATCAGTGATTTGTGCATAAATCAGCCTGCAGTGAAAGAGGACCTGAGTTTCTCCTGAGGGATTTTGTGTGCTTTCACTAGCAGAATGTGGTGCAGGAAGGATTTGACACAAGGGTGCCAGCAGGATGCCCGCTGGACACTCAAATCTATATTGAAACACATCAGTTGCCAGATGTGACATTTATATTTATGCCACCTACAGTGCTCGTCACCAGCAGGGTCACTCCTCCAACGTCTCAACCTGGGCTTCTTCTCATGCAGAACTTGCACTACCTGCCTGTAAATTATCAGTTGATAAACTTCTGTGTCTCTTAACTTGAAACTAAGAAATTGCTGTGGATTATTTGCTCTGCTGTTCTTGAAAGAAGGCAAAATGTTTATGGTGTCTTTGAATAGAAACAGATCATGGCGGCCCATACGCCCAGCAAGTCAGTGAACTGCTTTATTTTTTTTCATCATTAATAAACAAATTAGTAAATGAAGTCACTCCTATAAGCAAATTTCAACATAAAAAGGAGAAACTGCCATGGCTTCACTTGGTTACCTATCAGACCAATCATTTTTACTTACACACACAACACAGTGGGGTTTGAAGCTGTATATTTTGAAATTTGAACATAAACCCATGTATTTTCAAGCAACTTCATTTCAAATTTGAACATAATACATGAATATATAATCTTGGCACTATATAGTTTCAAAACTCTTTTTAGAAAAAAAAGTGTTTTAAAGCTATCCGGGGAATCCAGCCTGAGCACAACTCTATCCTAAGATATCTTTCTTCCACTGGTGAAGCTGGTAACCCCTCTCTTGCCTAGTGCTGGTTTCAGCAAGTTTCAACAAGTTTCAGCATTTGTAGGATGAAAGCAGCAAGACTCTGGGATTAGTTATACAGCCTTTATATTCAATTCTGTATTGCACATATGAGATATAATGCAGATATATGCAGTCTTATAAAGACATTAAAATGAAGATAATAATAAATATAAAAATAAAGAAGATATATGTTAAAAGAGAGGTTATTAATCAACTGCCTTTCATGAAGGGAGAAGCTCAGCAGTCTTTTCTGAGGAGGGAAAGATACTTGATTTACCTCAAGATAACACTGTTCATAGATATGAACTCTCAATGACTGTAGATTTTTAAATACCTAAGTGCAGGTTTTTACATAAATCCATACATCCACTTCCCTCTTCCCACAATCTAGCACACAATTAGTGTGCTAATTAGCTAAAATGAGCAGCTGTAGTATTACTAAGGGGAACTGTCATAATTCAGGTTTGACAAAGGCCCAGTTTGACAAAGCCATCCTTCCCTAAAGTGAGTGTCCTTGTGCCATGCTGCCTGGAGAGGGACTGCACAGGAGAGAAGAATGCATGGTGGGTATGAGAGAAATGTTAACAAAAGATCCTTTGCTGGGTTTAAGACCACATTATTCAATGCATATAAAAGCAGGTAAAACTACTTAAACATTGTAGGATGGGGAAGTCCACAGGTGAAAAACAGACCCCAAAATCCACCTGTACCAAGGGACTTTGGTGTCATGATTCAAAGGCTGTGAGTCAGGATTTTGGGACTTCAGATCTAACAAAGTTTCTCAGTCGTCCCTGAGAGCATCAGAGTGCATCTATTGCAGGGCAGATTTACTCCCTGGTACCCACCAGCTTGTGTGGAAAAGATCCCAGAGCCAGAGGAAAGGCTCCAAGGCCAGGAGAAGCATCAGGAAGCCCAGAAAAGCTGTCATAAATTTGAGGCTAAACTGTAAAGCCTGTCAAGTCAAAAGGCTGAGGTAAGTGGAGGTGTTGGAGCAGCAGCAGTGAAAGTGAGCAACTGAGAGCATCCCTGCTTCACACCTGAAACCACCAAGCACTCCAGCCCAATGACTCCCTAAAGCTTTGCAGCTTAATTGGTGGCCTTAGCGTTGGGGGCTAATTGTTTATAGCTTCTGTTAAAGAAGTGGCTCATTTGGAAACCTAGCTGACTAAACTTTACTACTGGCTTGTGCTGGAACTACAAAGTTGTAGAGGAAGAGGATGAGAGTGGTGATTTCCATTCCTCTCTCTTGCATCAGGGTGCTCAAGGATGCTGAAGCACAGCCAAATGCCAGCAGATTTGGCACTAAGCACATACAAGTGGATGGACACTGCTCTGGATTGCCAAAAGAGCAGGCTGGGATGTTGGAGAACAGGCTGGGATATCAGGGAACAGGATGCTTTAACAAGGTGAGGAGGTCTGGCTATGCTGACACACTGTTGGAGATGAATGTGTTTTATTGCCAGGTTTAAGGAAAATCTGACTTCAAGCAGCTGAACAAAGATGCACCAAGACCTATGTCCAAACCCACCAGTGTTCCCCTTAAAAAGGGGTGCTCTGTTGTCCTTCAGATTTTAGGATTTCCCCAGCAGCTACTTATGGATATCATCCTCCTTATTCTTGGCCTCCAGGCCTTCAAACAGACTCCTGACAATCCTTTGGCACCTACACACTAAGAGCCATAGAAAGGCCCAGACCAGTGCCATGTCCACCCCAAACTACTGTGACTCAAATTCATCTCTGGGGTAGAAACTGTCCAGGTGGAGTTGCTGAACATATTTATAACCAAACACATCTGATCAAACTCCCACATCCACAAGTGTCCCCTCTTCCTGCACTGGCACCTTCACTGCAGTCATTGCAGTCACAGGGATCACACAGGCTCTTTCTGCATCCCCAAAATGGCTTTGTCTCTCATCCCTGATAAATCCCCCAGTCAGAGCATGGCTTAGCTGTGCTGCAAACAGTGAGCACAGACAGGATGGTTTCTCTTTCTGGAGCAGGAAAATGTGAAGATTGTGTTGAGCTTTGACCTTGTGACAGTAGATTATCTCTCCCTGATAGGGGTCTTGGCCCTGCCCTTGTGGGTCTGTATGGAAGCTGCTGTGGTGGCATCATCAGTACTAAAGATGGTGCTGGGGAAAAGCAGAGCAAAGAGGTGCCAAAATAATGTAATGATCTGTCAGACCTGGGCTTATTGACATAATGGCTACTACTGACTAATCTAGGTTGTTTCATCTTAAAATTGTTTTACGTTTTGTCTAAAGTGGATGTCTCTGATCAAGTAGGATTTGTAAAGCCTTGCAAAAACCACAGTGCCTTTTTTACTTGAAGCAATCCTATTTTTAACAGTGCTCTGAACTTAGACACAAATATTTTCTCCTTCTCCATTTTCCATGAAACACAATTTATTTTCTCCTTTTTGATCTCTGATTTGCTCTCAACTAATTGGAGAACTTCCATTTTCCTTTTTGACATTTAGGTCACCTCCTGCAGCTACCTCACCATACCAAGAGCAGGGCTTTCCCCTAAAGACTTTAGTGATAACAAAACAACTGTCATGCTCAAAGATTCCTCTTTGAATGTACACGCACCTCTGACATCTCTGTCACCACACTCACTTCTGCTAAATCTGTGGTGTTTTGTCTGAATCCTCATCTCTGATGTCTTCTGGCTCTTTATACGTCTGCCACAATGAATATCTCATTCTTTGTTGGCACACTTAGGGTCTACCCTGGAAGTTATTAGTGTAAAAATCCTGGTTATTAGACATTTCCCAAAGCACCCTGACACTTGACAGCAAAATTATTTGTGTGATCATGGCAAGGCTGTAAAATCACTATCTCCCAAGAGGCTGAACCTGAAAGAGTCATCTGCACTTTCAGACAGAAATCTGTACAGAGGGGGTGCCCAATTAAAACTTTAAATTTCTTTGAATATAGTGTCCTGTGTAGAGAACTTTGGAAAACTTCTCAGAAGAAAATCAGTCTTGCCCATTGTGTGCTAATGAGCAGAATATGAGCAGAATAAGTGCTTGAGGTTTTTTCTTTTGGTTGTTTTTTTTTTCTTTGTTTTGGGTTTTTTTGTTTCACCCCCACTCCCCTGTTTCCTTCTTCCCCACAATGAAGTTACGGAAGTTAAAAAGCTCCTGATTTAGAGGTAGCAGCAGCTCTAAATAGGATTATGAGAAGGACTGCTTTAAAATAAACCCAGATGCTCTTTGGTCTTTGGAAAAGTAGTCAACTCTGAAAATATTTGACAAAAAAAAAAAAGTTAATTTAAACTCCAGTTAGTCTCCACATCCCTGAGTGCCAGAGATCAGCAGTGCTGTGTGAATAAAAGGTGGAGAAAAAGAAGGAATGTAGTATATCCAATTAGTCTTTATAGACCAGCAGGTAAACTTGACAATTAAATGCCTGCCTTGCTTTTCCAGCATAGTAAGGATGACAGGAAAGGCTGGATGTGAATTCTTCTGAAAAGAAACCCAGCATTCATATTGCTATTATAATTCTGTATTCATGGCTCATGCACTGCAGTAATAGTTAAAGCTCACCTCACAGCAACTTCTATTCTGCCAAAATCCTTCAATCCTAATAATCCTCTATCCCTGACTGGAACTAAAGTTGATTTCTAAGATAAATATGTTCTTTGTAGGAAAGGGAATTTGTAAGGAAGACAGATAGGAGGGGCTGCATCAACTACAATTAATTAATACAGACCCAGCAACTACATCAGGCACAAGGAAATTTAGACTATGGTGAAGCATCAACACAGTCTACATTTCTTGAGCACAGACACACGGCATGAAGAAACAGTGACCAAAACAGAACAAAGGAAAATGCTGCTAAATAGAAGCAATGCCTTGACACAGAGATGAAACACTTACCTTTTATTTTTTCTTTTTCCCCCCCTGTTTTTGCAGAGGAGATGACGGAGTGCTCCAGCTCGTGCCGTGCTCAGAGGCTGCTCTGACAGAGCTGCAGGAAGTAGCAGACGATACCACGTGCAGTTCTGAGTGCTGTGAGCTAAAAGAGGTTCTGTGGGCACAGCTTTGAGTCCCCAAAAATGTGTTACTCTTAGCTGGGTGTGCACAGAAAGCAGAGACTGCACAGTGCCAGAAGAGAATCTAGGAGGAGAAGCAGCCTTAAAAAGGAAGTGTTTGCTGTCAAATTCTGTCACTTGTACAGGGGTGAGAGATTGTTTTTGTGACTGCCAGACTCTGGTTTGGGCTCCTGTTCTGGATGTGCACCTAAATCACTGCAAACATGCCCCAGAGAGACAAGGGACCAATGAACCCTGTGGCTCCTCAGGGGCAGAGCACCTGCAGGAGGTACTGATTCCTATAGTGAGGGAAATTCCCTCTCTGGGAATGAACTCACCTGAATATGTGTGAATTGGCTGGGTGTTGAAAAGTGGGAAACAGTATTAGAGCCCAATAAACAGTGTGGTGACAGGAGGGAGAGCCTATTCTGGTGCCAGCTGGGATAGAGAAGGCTGAGAATGCTAAAGAAGATTTGATGATGGGTTGAACACCTTCTAGAAGAATTGAGTTGCAGGAATTCCTTAATAACGAAGAGCATTGATAAGAAGGAGCACATGATCTTTACCAAGTACTCTAGTTCAGGCTTTATGTGAAGGAGGAAGAAGATCCCAATGTTACATTGCCAGCCTAGACCTTGTTTGTGAGACCCGTTCCATGTATTTTTGCAGATGCTGTGTGTCACTCAGTCAAAGTCAAGTATGAACAGATTTATTAAGTTTTCAGGTAACTTCTCCATCAACTCCTACCAGTTCCACTTGCAGTGAGGTGCTTACAGGACCCCACTAGGGTCTGTCAGTGCTGGCACACTGCTGAGGGCTAAGGTGGGACAGGAAAGAACCATAGGGGAACAACATAAGGCATGCAGAGAACTGAATTTACTTTTGCTATCTGTATTGAAAGTAAAACATTTTCTCTGAAAATTAAAGAAATGCTTGGTATGTACTTTCATTCTGGTGTGAAAAAGTTGCTTTGGTTCTGTTCTGGTGAAGGTTTCTGGAGATGGGTCTTTCTCTAAAGAACAATTTATTCTCAGGAACCAGAAAGAATTGGGGAAAAAAGAGGCTGAAGCGGGTTTCCATCTGTGGAGGAGAGTAGGTGAAATTTCTGTCTGTACCAGCTCAGCTTGACTGGACATATTGCTGGAACCTGTCTGTGCACTGCCTCAAACATGTGATTTCATGTTGTTCCTTCTCTGTGTAGAAATCAAACCCACAGGAAAACACAATGAAGGAATAATGTTTCTGAGATGACTGCAGCTGATTTGTCTCTGTATTTGTCTTTCATTCAGATATGTGGGATAGAGAAGAGCAGAGTGCTCTCAGACCTGAAGAACTGGAGTTTTCACAGAGACCAGGGTGCTCTTCTGTGGTATTTGTGATGTACCAGCTCACTGTTCCCATTTGGCTGCAATCAGCTGTGGGGTCAGATACCTGCCTGATTGTTTTCTCCCTGATGTTGAGTTTAGGATAGTCAGAGACACATTTGCATTTTCCAGCTGGATTTAGTGATGAAACTTTGAAAATTGCATGGTCCTCCATAGGGAAATGAGAGACATCTCTGTTACCTTGAATCTTCCAGTCAGACTTGAAAAATATTACTATTTATCTTCTTCTTTGTGCTTCTCTCAGTAGTACAGCCCCAACTGACATCACGCACAACCATTCCCTGCAAGATGAAGACTGATACAAGATTTCATGTTGAAAGATGCTTTCAAAAGCCTTTGACAAGATCTTCTGTGACTGGAGATGAACACCAAGCTAGACCTTCTGTGGGTGGCAAAACCAAACCAAATGCTTTAAGTAACTTTACTCTGGTTTTGGTAGAGATAATACAAGCAGTACAGAGATATAAATTTTGGTCTGAGCTGCATTGTACTGATATCTCACCTAGTCAGTAACAGAAGATCAGATAAAGAACCATTTAAAGCAGAGTGCAGAAACTCTCTGGCCAAATCAAACTGAAGTAAATGCAAATGTTTCTTTTAACCTCAGTGAGTATAGATTGGGCATTTTGAGAATATTTCTTTCTGCAGTTTAATTTCTGGGTGCTATTTAGCTAGGTTGTCTTTAGGTTGACTGTTCAAGCAAGGTAAGCTGCATAAGTGATCTCTTCTATGCACTCTTCATCATTTTCCTGCTGAGGTACAGTAACTGTCAAACAGTAAGAGAGAAAAGGGTCCAGCCCTGTTTTAACTCAGTTCTATATAACACAGATTTTTTTTTTTTTAAATTTTCACAGCACTGTGATAGAGAAATTGCTTATGCACCACTGTTTAGAAACAGAAATAACTGTGGAAGACTGATGGGATCCAATGTGTTCGAAAGACTTTTAGACTTGAGTTTTTCACTCCTTTTTTTTTCATTTAGAAGCTATCAAAAGAAAAACAGGTAAGATATTTCTCTGTTCCACTGTGCATGAAAATGCTCTGTGTTAATGTTATCTTACCTTGGTTGTGACCAACAAGAACCTATAAATGGAGGAAATGTCAGATCATCTGCCTCTCCTTTCTCCACCTGCAGTCGAATACAGGGCTGTGGTCATACATTGCAAAAGATTACATCAGAAGAAAATTTTATGCATATTTTTGTATAATCTTTATAATATTTTTTACCTTTTTGTAGGCAACCAAGGTTCTTTTTTTTTTTTTAATGATAGAATATAGCTTTAAATTTGCAGCATGGGAAGGGAGGAAATGAAAACAGTATCTTGAAGTACAGGTCTTGGTAGGAAACAGCCAAAGGTCTGTCTCTTCTCCTCTTACTATGCAGTGCACTACATGAGAGCAGAGCTGCAGACCTGTCTGGGGAGTGCAGCATATACAGGATGGCAAAAAGGACTTTCTTAGTCATAAGCAAGGCAGGAAAGTGCCCAAGAATCTCTAGGACAGCAGTGTCCAGGGGCTAAGAAGCACTGAGCACTGAATTCTGCTCTGTGCTCCTGTGGCCAAGCACTGTATGAGTGCCCCTGCACTGGTGTGATCCACAGCTGTGTCTAGCAGAGAATCTCAGCAGCTTGTGATTCAGACTTGAGCTGCCTGTGACAGTGGCTGTGATGCTGTTGGTCTGGGACAGGCACAAAAGCTGGCCACGCTGCTTTTTCAGTCTATATCAAGACCACCACAGCTTGGATCCCTCACAGAATGTGCTAAAATTCTGCTAAAACTGGAGCTCAGCTTCCTCCCAGCCACTTCCTACCTGCATAGTCTTTCCTTAGCACACGAGGTGCAAACATGTGCCACCCTGGCAGCCAGGCCAGCTGAGTAGCAAAAGCACTGAGCTGAGCCCAGCACAGAGCTTACACAGATTCTGTCTGACCATACACACCCAATCCATAGTGTGCAGTCTGCAGGGAATGCAGACAAGTCCTGCTGCTGGAAATTAAAAACACGGGGCAGTCAGTTCCTAAGATTTTTGATTCAGTGGCTTTCCTACAATGATGGGTGGGATGATACAGTCAGATTCCTGCTGCTTAGTCAGGCTGCATAAATGCTTTAATTTCATGTCTGTGTTGGAAAGCCTACCTGCTTTAAGTTTGCCTGGTTTTGTGAGTGGTGTGTAGAAATGTGTCAGTTCTCCTTTTTCACAGGTGTAGTGATGTACTGCGTGCCTCAGGGGTGGAAATGCACTAAGCTGAATGTGACTGATCATGCCCTCATCAAGGAAAGGTCTCTCACTGTGAAAAGTTCCGTGTTTGACAGTCCTACCCTGTCACATGCTGGGATTGATATGGTCCCCATCAGCAGCTTGCTGGCAGAGCACAGCTGGTTGTCACACAGAGACCTTTGACACCACTGGCTTGTCTGAGGCAACAACAGCTTATCCTCTGAGTGGTAAGAGTGGAGAGGAGCCAGTCTGTGCCTCAGGGTCCTTGGGATGAGGTGGGGTTACATCCAACAGCTTCTTTGGGACACCCTGCTGCCAGTGGTGTGGCCAAAGCTGAGACAGCGAGTGTGCTGCTGCAGCTCAGGGCAATTGGCTCCCAACTTGGAATTCCGTCTCTGAACGTGTGTGTTCCCAAGCATCCCAGCCCATCCACTTTGCCCTTCTGTTCAGCTCCAGCTGTTGGAATAAGAGGAAACTGAAAACATAAGGAGTTAGCAGGCTGGGCTCCGCACGTGCAGCCCTGTGACAGACACGTCTGGCTTCCTTTTCTTACGATAACCCCTGCTTTTACTGAGAAACTCTAAACCCGCAGGGGTAGAAAGGTTACATGTGTTACTGCATGGGGAGGAAAAGGGTGCGGTTCACAGATCTCGTTTAGAATATTTTAACAAAGTCAAAGCAGCAGCAATGCTGGGCCAAGGCCTGAAACTGGTTTAATTCTCACAGATCAGAGAGGAGCTCAAGCTGGTTTTGCATCTGGTGCAAACAGCTGATATGGCTACCCTGAGCTCTGTGCTCTGCAGGGCTTGTATGTTTTTGGCTATTAAATCTCAGGTTAATACAAAAACTGTGTCAATGTGGAAACGAAGTCACAAAATCCATCTTTCCATTCCAAATCCCGAGGGAGTGGAGTGGCTGAAGAACAATACAGCTGAATTGGCTGAATTGACAGACACAGAAATGCTTTGGACAAACCTGGGGTTCAGATAAACCAAATCTCACTCAAACACTCTGCCATAAGTCCAAATATTCTTTTCATTACTGTTGTTTCCCCCTTAGCCTCCTTCAGTTTGCTCTGCAGACAGAATGGACCCAGCTGATGCAGCAGGGATTCCAAGGGATTTGGTGTTTACATTGCATCAGCTCCTCCTGCTGTGGTCAGGGACCCTCTCTGCCAGCTCTCCATGGCAAAGCTCCCAGCAGTCCACCCCGCAGATCTGCACAAACCCCAGAGGTGGGTGCTGTAGGAAGCTGGTGCCCTGCTCGGGGAGGATGTCACAGAGCTGGCAGGTGCCCATGGGTGACCCCAGCACGTCTGTGCTGGGGCTCAGCACCAAGGGGCACCTTAGAGAACAGCCACAGACAGGAAAGCAGGAAACCTTTTGCAAAGCAGAGATAACATAGAAATAATGCTCTGT